TTATTTTTTGGGGTGAGAGTTGACACAGAAAATTAGGTTCGCACTTAACAATATACAGTGTGAAATGGAAAATGACGTCATACTTGGTAAAAGAGAGAGTTGGTGAAAAAGAGGAAGACCCTTCAAGGATATGGAATGACCCAGTAGTTGCAACAAGTAGTGGGTTCAGACGTAATAGCGATGGTGAGGGTGGTGTGGGATTAGGACATTTCATTCTGTTTTATATAGGGTGGCTATGAGGTTTTACCAACTTGATGGCCCCTAAAATAAACAGCATATACTTAGTGTTCAGTTGCATTGGTTGGATTTCATGTGTCAGCCGTCTCATTTCCATTCTGGTGGCTCTTTTTCCCTGAATCTAGCTCCTCTGCACCTTGCCGTACCTTTTCCTCTTTGTTTTAGGGCACAGGTTCCCAAACTTATTTAGCCTACCTTTTCTCGTTATAGAAAAAAAATTACTCGGTGCCCTTCTGGCAATTAAAAACTTTAGCACTGTAGCCCACAATCCGGGATAAAAGTGTAGGTATCTGCTTTTTGTAGTCCCCCTGGATCATTCCAGCATGCCTCCCACCCCACCTTGGGAAACATTGCTGTAGGGTCAATGTTGGCTGATTGATCTCCCACAGAAAATTATTTAAAGGAGCACAGCTCTTATGAGTGATAGTTTATTTTATAAACCAAATCTATTACTTGGCTGAAAGTTCCAGAATTAAAGGGCACTTCAAGGTGATAGGCTCAGGAATTCCCGTATTATTTTTCAGTTTAGTAAGTAGGCCCTTTAAACTCTTTGTTCTATATCTTTCACCCATTCTGTTTGGAACTTCTATTGTGTCTCTGGTCAGAATGCCAGTCATGGCAGCTAAAGGACCATGGATTTCACATCCCAGGAAGATGAGACCATGGTTCATGGGGGCTCTTAGTCCTTTAGAATCATTCTTTCTTTGAGTATTGCATTTCCTTCTTTTTCTTTGGCAACTGGAGGTACTTTTGTTCCCCATGAAACAGTTAACAAAGTCTGGAGATAGTTTTGGTTCTCACAACTAAGGTCATGCTCCTTGTAGGTAGTGGGTTGAAGCCAGGGCAGCTGTTAAACATTTTACACTGCAACAGGCTGTGCACTGAGAGAAATATTTATCCAGCCAATAGCATTGGGGTTGTGAAACCCTGATTTAGACTATGGCATAGTGCTTTTGAGATAGTACAATTGATTTTTTTGTTTCTTTGTTTGTTTGGGAACTTGTATAAACACAGACTTCTTTTTTTTTAACATAATGTTTTTATTGACATATCTTACTCATTCCAGTACAGTGAACCCTCGCCACTTCGCGCTTCGACTTCCGCCGCTTCACTCTATCGCGGGTTTTGCGTAACAGCACCCTCTGCCTACACCGGCTCCTTCAGAGGAAAAAGACGGCGACCCACCTGTAGAGTACATCCCTTAAGTCATTTCATAGGCTATTGATTACAGTAT